GGTATCAGATCGGAACCTCGGCCTTGGTTTCGAGCTAGGTGATCACTTTTGGGCATCGATGTTCGGGACCTGTATCGGTCGATGTTACCTCGGTCGATTCGAACACCCGAGCTCGACGCCCCCATCTCGGAATTCGTTCGGGGTCTCCATGAAGATGCCCCTTGATTGAAATACCATCCTCGATCGATCTTCATGACCGAGGATCGGTTTTAACTGTATACAGATAGCCCCCTCGTTTCTTGGAAAGGAGATGACGAAAAACGATGTGATTTCCCTAAGGTTTGACCGAATCGATAATGACGTTTCTATCGGCTTTGACTATGACGTGCGTGATAGCTGTCCCATCGATTTGGTTTTATCGAGGCATTTAATGTGTGTCAGTCGGTGGTCGGCCACCGCTAGAAACGAATCGCCATACCTTATAAATAGTTTTCACATATAATATTTTCCACTTTTATGCTTCCTCTTTTCCCAAATTCCCTTTGATTAGTTTCTCTTATTTCGTTGCTTTAGTGCCGCTTATACCGGAGTTACGGTGTTGTCCCCTCTTTCACCTTTCTTTGCGATTTTTTCTTCTCATATTAATGGCGAAAACTTCGAAAATCGTACCTCACAAGGAGAAAGCTTCTTCCTCGCGGCTGTGTGACGATAAGGCGCCGCCCGAGCCGTCCGTTCAAGATTATATTCCCGGCCCGTGTATTTTAAAAACTAATTTTAAGGTGGAGAACCCTTCGTCAGTTCCGGGTCGGTGTGAGCACGTATCGATGTATAAATGCTCTATAGCGGAGGTTCACCTCGAGGCCGTCAGAAAAGACTGCGGCTGGGGTTCTGAGGTTGTGTTATAAATCCCCTCCCCTGATGAGAGCGTCACTACCTATGTGGAGGGATTTTTAAGTGTTTACACCTATCCCTTTACGTTGGGAGCTGTCGATCCCGTGATTTTTGATTTCTGCAGGAGATATCAGGTCACCCTCGGCCAAATTCATCCTTCCTTATGGCGTATAGTCATCTTATTACGTTTCTTCTCTATCAAAGCCGGAGGGTTGGATTTTTCTCTGAGCCACCTTATATGACTGTATCGGCCTCAGATTTATCGTGGACTTATTAAGCTGNTCGGGCATCGAAGGCTTTGATGTCGAGCATCGATGAAGATAAGGATCGAGGCTGGATGGGTCGATATATTCGAGTGAGGACTCGTGATCTTATCCCGGAGGAAAAGATGTTGTTTCCTGAAAAATGGAACTTCGACCGTAAGTGATCCATGTTTGCTTTTCATGTCTTTTTCCGTATTTGTTAATATTATTTTCTGATGTCCAGCTGCACCTTGGATGCCACAAG